AATAATGATAGCAATTCCGGGTACTCAAATCACATACTAAATACAGGACATGCATACGGAACAATAACAGAAATAATGGAAGTTATAACAACGGGAAAGAAGGGCAGACATTTGAATACGTTAGAGAAATACCATATATATAAAATAAGTAAGAAAGGCCTACACATGAATGATACACACATAGAAACACACAATCCCATATTTCAAACGATACACGAAATCTATACAGACTAACAGTACCTTTCTCTCCACACTACCCATTCCCCCCCCTACACTCACCAACATAAAACTCAGCACACAGTACATCAGGCAGCACACGTAGTAAAGAATAGCAGCGGCACGCACACAGAAAGACTACACAAGGTAAGTACAAATAACAATATAAACACATAAGAAAACATCACATACATAAGATAATAATACGAATATATTTGTATATTACAGATAACACCTGTGGGGTTCTCTCTTGTCATCGATGTGTGTCTTGTCATTACTCCGATGACAACCCACTTCTTCGGAACAGTTTGTTGGCCCTGAAAAGGACCGTGGCTGATGAGATGTTTGACCGGGANGCTGGAGGGCCGAGGCAGTCGTGCCCGGCGCAGCCTGCCGATGTCTCCGAAGACCGAGCGCTGGCGACGAAGCCTGCTGGTTGAAGTCGCTTGATGTGAAACTGCTGAACTGAAACGATGGACTGAATATCTCGGCTCTGGAGTCGCTCCCTTTTTATACGCTGGTTGATGGGGCGGAGCCAAACTCGAAAGTGAGGAGGAAGAATTGATTGGCTAGCGCGCGTAATGGTGTAGACGCGGGCTAGCGCCGAGCGTAGTATAAATGCGATCGTTTGAAGCAATCTGATTGGTTAGCGCGCGTGATGGTGAAAAGCGATGCGAAGAGTGAGCGTTGCAGAAATGCGTGATAATGTGGGATGTTCCCACACACCTATACAGTGTGGTAACAAGAACTAGCCGCTGCAGCACTTTAAACATAGGGCGAATAACCCTAACAATTTTAAAATTTTGAAATTTAGGAAAGAATTTTAAAGGTTTTTAAAGTTAGAACTAAAGATTTTATTATAGTGCTATTACAACAAAGTCAAAATTAACGTGTGTAAAATGAAGTAATCTACGGACCAGACAGATATCAACGAAGTGGAGGTTGATAGTAACAAGGAAAGTGTTTTTAGATGTTAAATTTTGAGCTGGGTGCAGTGTGACAGCGACATGAGTGTTATACACCTGATGATGGCCGTCTGAGGCCGAAACATATAGTGTAGGGGAACAAGATCAAAGACACAAAATATATTGTTTGCACTTGAGACGGAGTTTGTATCATTATATCATTTATCATTTGGATACACTAGTTCTGTACAAAGAAGAATTCTACAGTAGAGCATTTAACTTTTTCTTCTGTGTTGTTTCAGTTTTTCCAGTTCTTATATATAATAGGCCAAAGACCATTCCACATGAAACCAACCCAATCATGTCTGATGCTCATGATGCAATCATCTACCACGTCCAGTCCTGTCTCATCCCATCATAATGATACACATTATTCACTCGGGTTTTTCCATTTACTCTTAATAAGTCACTGATGTTGGTAAAGGTAAAAATTTAAAGCCATCCATGCAAGAGACCGTGGAGGCCCATAGGGTTGTGAGAGGTCAAGGCTCCAACATTTTCTAGACAGTCGGCTCACAGATGGCGGTGAGGTTGTGAGCTTTACATGCTGGCTGCTCTTTCTGTTAGAGGCTGAGTTGACCCAAGGGTCGTAGTGCAGTTGGAAGGGTTAGGTAAATTGAAAAATCCAATGACATCATCAGGTATCAAACCAGTGACCTTCTGGCTTGTAGCATAGTGCCTCAACCAACTATGCTACTGTGTGCCCCCACTGGTGTTGGAAACATGCATATTGGCCATTTAATTATGTTGCACAGTGGTGAAGACATTTACAATATCATACCAGATTATGTAATATAAAACATAAATCTGCACTTATATGAAAATAGCTGTAGAATTTTTAGGATCGTTTATGAGGTCTGGAAATATATGGCTGAACATTAGTTCTGTTGGACTTACTGACTTATCAACATTGATGTAGTTGTTGACGTAAAGCAGATTGTACCACCAGTTCTGACGACAGTCTTCAGTTTCAGTACTCACGATATGGTTCCACATAGGACCACTACCCAAGTGGTTAAACCAACTTGCAGCTAAAGCCACCATTATTGCATACACAGGAGTCAGTCTGGCAAGAATGTGCACATTGATTATACTAAATTTATGTGTTTTCTGACATAAGGTCTTGCAACTTTTTTATTTCTGCTGAAAATCATATTGAAAAGAACAAGAATTACAATTTTAGTGGTTAGTGAAAATTAATGTTTCACTATTAACCTAACTTTGCGAGTGGCAAAAGTGTGAGGTCTTAAATTATGGAAGCTATAAATAGAACCACCAAGGTCACTTCTCTTATTGTATAGATTCATCATCACAGAGCCTCCAAAAAATCCCTTGGCTGGTCAGGCATTATCTCAGACTGTGTGCATTCAGGCTTGTGGCATAGTCAGTTGACTAATAACCTATTCACATTTCAATTTTTCTTCGATATCACTGCAGCAAACAGCTACTGTGAAGAGAGCTTACATGTTATGTTCCCATCATCTATAATCCCTGTCACATGCTACTACTGTATTAAACATTCCTTCAGTCATGTTACTTACTGTATCAGAATGCCACATGAGAATTGCATGTTGAATCATGTATGATACCCATGTGAAAAGTAAGAAGATGATTCAACATAAATTTCAAGCTCTCACAGTTCCAGTTAAAAAAAAAGAACTATTTGTAAAATCATAAATGAATTTAGACAGTCAGGTTCTTTACTGGACAAAAGAAAAAAATTGACTCAAAATGCCAGCTGCCCACTGAAGAGAAACTGGATGAAATATATGCTAGGCTTGAAAACTTTTCTTAAATATTCATTAGGCCCCTTTGCAGAGGAGTCTAGGGTTTGAATGAAATTAGTGCTAGGCTTGAACCTTCTCAAAAATCCCTTAGACCTGGGGGAACATCCCACATTATCACGCATTTTCTGCAATGCACACTCTTCACATTGCTTTTCACAATCACGCGCGCTAACCAATCAAATTGCTCCAAATGTTCGCATTTATACTGTGCTCGCTGCTAGCCCCGCATCTACATCATCATGCGCGCTAGCCAATCAGCGCTCTGAAAATTCCTCCTCAATTTAAAGTTTCGCTCCGCCCACCGAGCAGTGTATAAAAAGGAGTAGCCGCAAATTGGCAGAATCTTCAGTCTACGATCAAGCCACACTCAAGCAACATCAGCCGGCAGGCTGTGCCAGGCACGACTGCCTCGGCCCTCCAGCTCTCTCACACCCGACTCACTGGGGCACCTCGCCTGGACTTGCTGGTGGTCGTGTCCCTGTCCGACCCACTGGGCATCTGGCGTAGCCACTGCCTCATCACTCCTACAACCGTGCTCAACGGCCAGCCTTTCACCAGCAGCCGCTGCGCTGCGATCAAGCAACCTCTACCATCTGCCGCACCGCGATCAAGCAACGGCCGCACTGTGGCCAGTCCACTCTGCAACTAACCTCTCTCCCTATCGGCGCGCACCGCGCTACCTCACCGGTCAAGCATCTCAGCAACCATAGTCCTTTTCAGGACCAACAAACTGTTCTGAAGAAGTGCGTTGTCATCGCAGTCATGACAAAACTACATAAGACCCCAGAGACCCATTACTAAGGGGACTGTAATTTCAAGTTCAAAACTTGCTCCTTTTCCAAGAAGCAACTTCAATGCTTGAATATAAGCACTGTATGGAGATGCAAGGAATACCTGCCTCTGACATCCTCTGTGATCTAGTTGCTCTTTGTTTATGATTTGTTTGCCCATTGACTTGTTGACTATGCCATGAGTCTGAACAGACACAGTTGGAGATGTTGCAACAGTCTGTGGGATTTTCAGGAGGCTGCCAGACAATTTCTGTGTATTTGTAACATAAGAGGGCATGCCTCTTAGATATTTGTTACTGTACATTTTCAGTGCTACACGTTCCAGTATTATGTATCTCACCAATTCCATGAAATGAACCATTCTTCATTGAATATTAACACACAAAAGTATCACAGAAGCTACTGTATAAAACACATCAGAGTAGAATACTTCAGATTACTGTTTTCTGCATTATTACAAGTTTGTACTCTGGCAGATCTTTTACTGTCACTGGAGATGAGCTACTAAAAATGCCTGAAAGTAAAGTGCTAAATTAATTGTTTAGGACTATGGGGCAAATGAGTACTTACTTTTTTCCTGCAATTACTGAAGTGATAAATAAATGAGGTTTCAGTATACTGGACATATAGTATGAACAGAGGAAATAAGAAAGAATCATCGAGGAATTGAAGTATGTATCAGTATTTGACATGCATTTTCATCTCTCTCTCTGTCTCTCTCTCTCTCTTTTCTAATTTAAAGTTTTCTTAAATATTATTTAGGCATGGTTGCTGAGTTGAACCTCTCCCCCATCAGTTAATTAATTAATGATGTTCATGGGTATGAAATAAATCTCATTATGCAGGCAGATATTTTACATGTTGACAGCTCCCTTTTATGTAATTAATGTATACCTTTAGTATGCATATTCTTGAATTGAAGACTAGGTTTATTTCTATGCAACTGTTATTCCTTCATAATATGGTTTTAGGTGCAGATGTAATTTTACTTTTATGCAGTTCTTACCTCATGTACCGATGACCAATGACTCTGAGAAAATCAAATATGCTGAATGACCCCCTAAAATGTTTGTCTTGCATGAAGAAATAACTTAAAAGAAATCCACTGATGCTTAAGAATGTACCCATGATTGCATTACCATTCATGAAGCCGGACCGAAAGAAATCTTTGTATGACTGTAATAGAGGAAAGCAATCAAGATTAAAATAAACTTTACAGAAATTTAATTATTTGTAGAGTTTAGCATGGATTTTGTGTGATTTAACTTTACATTGCTTGAATCACAGCAATCTTGCATTCCTAAATTTTCTCACCAGACAGCATCAGTATCTAAACATTTCAGTACAAGCCATCTAAGCCCACTTCATCGCTAGGGAAATAACAGCGCCTTTTTTGTTTTCATGCCTAATGTAACCATTCTCGTAGTACTGTGATTTTTATCTTCTTGAAAAGGTCATATTCGTAATTTTTTACACATTCAAGTAATGTGACAGTTATTTTGCTAACCTATTATAAAATAATCATTTATGTTTTGTGTTTTGACTCTGATTGTAAAGATTTTAGAAAATCTTAATTCATTCACTTGGTATTTATAAATTGTACTAACTAATGAACCCCACTGGGGCTTCATAGTTGCTCAGCTAGTCAAGAAATTCTCCATCTTTTATGGAAACCAAAGCTCCATTATCATGTTCACAGTAGTGCACTGCAGGTCCCACTGAGCCACATGAATGTAATCGATGTTGTCACACTGTATGTCTTTAAGACCTGTGTTGTTGTTGTTGTTGTTGTTGGGCACTAGCTATTGAGCTCAGCACATGAATAAATAAAGAGCTGAACTGAATTATCATCATGATAACATCCAAATGTTATAATAATTTTTTTTTTAGGGATAAAGTGACCGAGCATGTATTCACTAACCCTCATTTAGTGTTGAGATTAAGAATTTACTTCCATTCCACATATTTCTTCATGGTAAGGTATTTAATTAAGCAAAGGGACAACTTTATATTAGGTGTTAACATTTAGTAAATTCAGCTCCTATCTGATATAAATCATAATTACAATTATAAAATTATGTAATGCTCCAAATGTTAATATTCTTTCCTTCAACCCAGCACCTAAGGCATTGTTCATACTCTCCTGTGATTAAATTATAGTCTTATGCACACATGATTAGAGATACTTGCAGGCTCATTGATTCTATTGACTGATCATTTTACACTTGGATGTAAATGGCCTTGTTTAATTTTTCATATTTGAGAACACATACTGACCTCCTCCACCCACTCTGGATTCTGGATTGGTCCACGAATTGTCCAAAAGAGGCCATGTGTCGTTACTACAAGAAACATGGTAAGAAAACGTATTCCCTGGATAAATCGGAAAGATTTAGAATCCTCCGTCTTGCTCAGAGTTCCCAGTTTATGAAAATTTGTAAACAGTGAAAAACACATCAGGAGCCTTCCACCTGTGAAAAAGTAAAAATTAGTGAACAAATATATTAGTCACATGTAAATTTTCACTTAGTTTGGACTCCAATACGTAATGGTTTGTATGTCCAGATTTGGGTCACACCACAATTAACTGGAATGACTTGTAATCAGTTCAGAATACAGCTGCTTTGAGTAAACTGGAGAGAAGTTTTCCTCCTACAAAATATGTACCTCTCATAGTTATTGATGTAATCACTTAAAATATTCAAAGCATTATAGTGTAATCATGGTGAAAATTTTAATGTTTAGAGAAGATTAAGTGAAATGTACCTTCAAAATTAATTTGACATATATGTTACATCACATTTCCTGGATCTAGAGTCAGTCAAAATGACTGTAGGATGTGGAATATGTCAAGTAAATACAAAAACTTGTGTGCAGAACAGCTGAAGTTTTCACATAAGAAAATAAAAGAAAACTTAGTGGTTACACATAAGGCTATTCAGAAATATGTACATCCACTTATATGCATCAATACTATCAGCTTATGTTATTTACACAACCTTTAAATGGATGAGACATTTTTTAGACAATAAGTATTCATCAACAGAGTAGAGCGAGTGTGTGTTTAAATATGTTTTAGTGCTATTTTAAATCGTGCTTTTTCATTCATAAGACTCTTGAGATCAGATGGCAGATTATTGAAAATTTTGATCCCAGCATAATATGCGCTTTTCTGAAAGCATGAGAGGTTCACCCCCCTTGTTGGTGTCTCCACCTTATCGTGGTGAGGGGGGTTGAGTATGCCAAGGACCCTGAGAGCTATACCGGCGGTAGCGTAGCT